CCCCTTGGATTTGATATTTCCTGGAACAGCTCACAGCACTCAGGAGAGCACTCCTATGTACCGGTTTATTAGAGGATTTGATGAAGGATACAGATGAGCAGCCAAATGAACACGGCGAGATGGGGGGGAGGTTTGGAGCACAGGAGCTTCCGTCCTGGGGAGCTGGGGTGTGTCACCCTCATATGTGGATGCGTCCACCGACCTGGAAGCTCCCCAAACCCCACCCTTTGGGGGTTTCATGGAGACTCCATTTCCAGCCCTTCTCCCCTCTCTGGAGGAGGTGGGGGCAGGGGGACTGGCTGAAAATGTCAAGATTCTAATTCTGGCTCGGCCTGCCGGGTGACCAGCGCTCTTCTGTCCAGGAGCCATCAGGAGCCACCAGAACTGCTCCTCAGGACTCTGTCCATGGCTCCGCCCAGGTCTGTGGAGGCTGGGTGGCCACGCCGGGCACAGGAGCCCACGGAGAGCAGCAGGATGCCCGGGCACACTTTGCTCTTGCTCCCATCTGGCGTCAGGGGCCAGCGCGGATGTACAGGGTGGAAGGCCACCCGTTAACCCGCCCCAGAGTGACCCACTAACCCTCAGGGTCACACCACGACCCTCGCCCACTCCCACCAGAGCCAGCTCTGACACAGTGTGATTTCAGGTCACGGGAGCAGACCCTGGGCAAACACCCACAAGGTAACAGCCAGGCACTGTGTGTGGCACCTCGCTCGCCTGGCTGTGGTCCACCCAAGAGGAAAGGCTCACCAGCCTGTTACTCGGAGAAGGAAGTTGAGTCTCAGAGTCTTTGCAGGGCTCCAAAGCCCAGAGTCCCCCCCACAAATGCGAGCTCCCAGCTGGCATGCGCCCCACAGCTGTGCACTCCGATCGCTGGTTGACCGTCACGGCCCCTGGTGACGGCCTCACTCCTCAAGCTAAAGCCTCGTTGAACAAGTATTACGTATTAGTGTTCCTAATAACAAAAGGCATTTCAGAGTTAACAAAGCAGACTTCCCTGCGCTGCACTTGAGCCTGCCCAAGCTCTGTAACTGAGGGTCATGCCCCCTGCTTCACATATAAGGAAACTGAGGCTCAGAGAGGGGAAGTGACTAAGAGGCAGGATGGGGACTAGAAGGCAGAAGTGAATGTCAGAGCAAGGACCGTGACGTCTGACGACCCCTCGTGCCACACTCTGCTCCAGTCCTCGGAGAGATGTGAGGAGGACGGGGAGCCCAGGCAACTGGCACTGGCAGGTGGCTGCAGAATGTTTCACTTAGACCCTTATTCGGTTCTGTGCTCCCCACCGTCACCCCCACTCAGGTGTACAAGGCCCAGAGGTCTCGCCTCCACCCACACAGACAAGGCACTTGGCCGAGAGCACCAAGACCAGCCTGGGCTGAGCAAGTCCTCGGCCACATGCACCTGGGGCGCGCAAGTCCTCAGCCAGGGCCAGCCTCTGTGCCTGGGCTGGAGAGGGGGCTACACCCCCAGTGCCTGCAGCCAAGTCCCCCTGGCCTGGGCCACCTCCAACCCTGTCCACCCCGAACCCCTCTGGGAGGAGCAGCCACCAGCAGACCTCCCCTCTCAGCATGGGTTACCAGCTCCCCGCAGTCCAAGGGCGGGGCAGAGAACCCTCACCCCAGCCCCTGGGGCCCCTTCTTTTTCCTCCTCTGGGACCATCTCACAGAGAAGAACACGGCGGTAGGGGAGCCAGGGGCTGTTGCTACAGGAAACGCATCCCTCTGTTAGCAACACCTCTTCGGTACGGGCCTAGAATTTTCCACAACATCCTGGGCCAGGTTCGTTCTTGAAGGAAGCAGCTCTTTGCTCTACGCCACCAACTTCCCATCCTCCTGACCCCTGGAGGTCATCCCTGGGGGGAGACGGGAATGAGGGCCCTCCCTGAGCCCCACGTTCTCAGCTGTAAAAGGAGGCCCCCTCAGGTGGTAATCCACACATGAAACCTCTATGTTCATGTTGACCAATGTCACCCCAGTCAATTGAATACATAAAATTAAAGAGAAAAAAGACGTGCTTTGTGTTTTGTATTTCGGGCAGCCTCATGGAGAAAGCAAGAATCTACTGACCAACTTAATCCAAACCCAAACAGGCCCCCGAAGCCCAGAGGACAGGGACGCTCTGGAAACAATGGCGCACAGCTCCCACCCCCACCGGCCACTCACTTTGTGAAGCGCGTTACAACCAGTTTAGTTCGATGGTTTCCTGGGGAGGGAACTCCCAGACTTCGGAGGCTCCCTGCCAGCACTTTCTGGGTGTGGCACACATACAACCTCACAGTTGTGTTTCTAAGATCTCTGCACACAAGCCTGACCTCAGGGCCTGAGGACATGATGTAAAGATGCAAGGCCACGGGCCCTGGGACAGAGGGGGGCCCAGGACTGAGCAGGCAGCCCCCGTGGAGACAGGTTAGCAAACCCAGTCTCTTCAACCTGATCCTGCCAGCAGCACCTGCCCCACCGTTGGCAATGGCCCAGTCAGTGCTGGCTTAGCAGAAACTCCCCCATCTCTCTCCATGGAGTTGAGGGACAATCAGGGGCTCGGACAGAAATAAAGTCCACTGTGGGCGGCAGCACGGCCTGGGGCAAACCCTGGGCTGGGAGTCAGGGCAGCCAGGCTCGAACCCCACGCTGCTGTGACTTTCAGGAAATTCCTTCCTGTCCGGTCTTAGGAGTTTCTTCTCCTACACTGGGGTCATTTCGGCTCTTTTCAGAGTTGTGGTGAAAGGCGACCCAATGGGCTGAGTAAAGCACCCAGCTCAGCGCCTGCTCCACACCCTGAAGCTACCTTGACCTTGACCTTGACCTTGACCTGCAGCCAGGGCCTAGGCCATTCAGGAGCCAGTGCAGGGCCAGTCAGGCTTGCACGTCAGAGGGACCCCCCAGTGTTTCTCCACGGGGGGCCTGGGGGTGCTATTGGTGTTTAGGATAATTCCTCACTGTGGGGGGCCATCCCTTCCTCCCCCTGCCCCTGCAAAGCATTTAATTCCTCTGAGCACTATAGAGCCTGCCCCAGCGCCCCAGCGCCCCAGCCTGGTGACCACCGACGTGCCCGTATGATACACCCTGGGGGGTATCACCCCGCTGAGAGCTGCAGCTGAAGGCTCTCCCTGCCCCAGAAGTGATGCCTCCTCTTAGCCCAGACATGTCCACTCTCAGAGAGAAGTTTCTCCTTGACCTTGCCTCAGGGTGGGCCACACTCCCCTCCTGCGGCCCCCACTCTCCCATTGCCCTCCTAGGCCTCCCCTGGTCAGATGCTGAAGCTGCCAGAACCATCCTGTGAATTCCTTCAGTGACGTGCCTGACCAGGACTTGGCATAACAAACAGCCTAGACCGGGAAGTGATTCCTGATGACAAAGTGTCAGACGCCTGAGAAAGGGGGAGCTCGGGGGACCACCGGGGTCTCCCCAGGCTTCTTCTCTCGAATTGCAGGAGGGGGAGTGTCCTCCCACCCCTCCCTGCAGAAGCCGTGCAGCCAGCTGGGCCACAGGTGTGAGCAACAAGACACCTGTATGATCTCAGAGCAAGTCCTGGCCGCCAGGGCCCCGCACTGATGATGGGGGAGTGTGAGTCCTCGGCATTGGGAGAAATATTTGTAAAATATGTGACAGACAGCACTTGAAAGGTACATACACACAGCGCACAGACATAAGTACCTGTGTGTCTACATGCACATATTAATATATGTTAATCATAAAATTATTCTGTGATTAACATAGTAATTACATACTCTATATTAATATCTAGTCATAATTATGTAATTAACATATTGATTACTTGTGTAACTAATATCTAGTATATCCATTAAGAGTACTTGCAAATTAATAAATGGTAAACTTCCCAGAGGAAAAACAGGCCAAGAACATTAAAAAAGCAGTTTTACAACAGAAGTGAACGTGTGGCATTGAGATACGACCTTCCGCCTCGAAGACCAGCAGCTGGTTTTAAATTATAGTGTCCCATCCTCGTTAGAGCATGTGAATGACCTGATGGCTTGCTGGTGAGAGTGAGCGGGTATTTCCAGAGGGTAGTTACGCAATGTTTTAAAATCCCTAAAACTACACATAATCTGGGGCCAAGCAACTGCGCTTCTAGAAATCCTCCAGAGAGAAGGCCTGTTCCTGCTCCTTCTGATGGCACGATGCTACCCCGGCCCCTCTGGTGCCCTCCTGGTGATGGCTTTAGGGGGGAGAGGGGGACCCGGAGCCACTGGGGGCCCAGAGGACAGGAGACGGCTTTCCCCCTAATATTTCACTAACAGGTACATCCCTCCCTGCCTGCATTCATTCATTCTCTCTCTCTCTCTCTCTCTCTCTCTCTCTCTCTCTCTCTCTCTCTCTCTCTCCCTCCTTCCCTCCCTCCCTCTCAACTTGTGCAGAAACTCTCATCCAGTCTCTCTGTCTGGACCTATGTCCATGCCTGTCTCTCCCACCCTGTGCACCTCTCCCTCCGTCACTGTCCCCCATCTGCCACTCCTCTATGGGCGCCTGCCTGGCATCCGTTAGCCTCTGTATTTCTGACCTGGTGTCTTGTTTCCATTAATGTCTCTGTCCAGGTGCCTGTCAGTCTGTCTTTCCGGGTGTCCCTCTGTGTGTCTGTCTTAGCGCCTGTCGTGTCCACGTCTTTCTGTCGATGAGCTCCCTCTCGCTTTTACTATCTCCATCTCTCTGCCTCCATCCCAGTCTCTATCCCCTCCCGAGATGAGTTCCTAAAATCCCAGCGAGGAAACAGGCCTTTCGAGAGGTGTGCTTCTGACACAGCTTTGGAGGGGCTCCGAGTGGGGGGGGGGGCGCCGCGGGGACAACCCCACGCGCGACGCGGCCACGCGCGCGACTCCCCGGCCCTGTCGCCGCTCCCCCAGCTCCCGCCCGTCGAGCGCCTCGCAGCCGGCCTGCCCCCCCCCCCCCCCCCGCTCACTTGGACAGCACCCTCGCCCCCACCCGAAAGGGTCCTGGCCCAAGCCAAGTGGATGGGGGGGGGGGGGGGCGGAAAGTTCTCACCGATGGTGAAGCTGTAGCCATCGATGCTGAACGTGGCGCTCCGGCACTTCTTGAAGCCCTCCTTCTTGCTGCTGGCGTCCGTCATGGCTCGGCCGCCGGTGTGGCGGGACCCCCAGCGGCGGTGCACGCAGCCCGGCGCCCACTCCCCGCGCTCAGCCCGGTCCCCGCCCCCGGCCGCCGCGCTGTCCCCGCAGGTCCGGCGCCTCGGGCTGCAGCGAGCGAGCGCGAAGTCAGCTAATGCACTAGGCGCACCACGGAGTCAGCCAGCGCGGCAAGCGCCCCATCTCCAATGCCAACTTCCAGAAACCGGGGGCGCGGAGACGGGGAGGCGCGCACGGTGCGTGGGAGCCGAAATCCGCGTCTTCTCCACCCGCGTCTCGGGGAGCCGCTGCAACCCGCGCGCTGCAGGCGCGGCTGCGTTCTCTCTGGGCTTCGCCTGCCCCTCTCTGGAGGCTGGTGGGGTTTGGGGACCCAAGGGAAAGGCTCGGATTTGGCGTCGTGCTTCTAGATGTTTTCTCTGGCAGGCAGGAGCGCTCCCAGGAAGCACATCAGCAGATGGAAAAGCAAACAGCGGGGCCGGGCAGATGCTGCCGAAGTTTACTCCAAACAAGGAAGTCGGGAACGCCGCCACGCCCACTTCCTCCCGGCGCCTGTCCCCCAACCAGCCTGCGCCCCATTACTTCCCCACGGCCCTGGCCGGAGATGGTTATCAAGGTACCCACAGCTGCGGCCAACCGCCTTCACAGAGCCTCTGCCCTGCTCAGTGTACAGCCACGCTCTAGCTCAGTGGTTCTCACCCTTGGCTGCGCATTAGAATCACCTGGGAATCTTTTTAAAATCCTGATTTCTGGGCCTCATCCTCCGGAAATTCTGTTTCTTTGTTATGGGGTGGGGCCACAACATTAGTAACAAAGAAACAGAATTTCTGGAGGATGAGGCCCAGAAATCAGGATTTTAAAAAGATTCCCAGGTGATTCTAATGTGCAGCCAAGGTTGAGAACCACTGCTCTAGCTCATTCCAACGCTCCTCCCAGCTCTCTGCCGTTGGGTTTAGCCAAACGTGAGACTCCAGGTATTTGTGGAGGTGAGAGAGATTTTACCAACCCCACAGCTGACCCTGTTGTTACAAACGAGGAAACAGGCCAACAGGCCGAGAGAGGCGCTAGACTAAGGTCCTGCAGCTAGAAAGCGGCAGCGTGGCCACAGGCGTTTCCTTTTAGGACACCAGTCACTGGTCCTCCCAGCACCTGGAGTGACTGACGCAGGCAAGGTGTGCACAGGGGCCATCCTCCCCTCCCACCCGCAGGCCGTTACTAGGCGCTTACAACCGCATTGCTCTGTGTCCACCGCTGAAACCGGAGCCCAACCAGTCCCTTGGTGGTGTCCACCCCGTGTCACGTGGAATGACAGTGCCATCTTTGTTTAGGTGACTGTGGGACTACGATCAATTTAACCTCCTTTGTTGTGATGAAATTTGACACAATTAACAAACATTTGTCAATATCAAGGGAGTCAATTAGGTATATTCCTAACTGGCTCCAATTGAGTTTAGGGAGCAGTGGGTCCAGAATCCCACTAAAATTAGAAACCCTCTCCCAAGAAAGGCACATGTACATACATGTGTATACATGTACTGCGTTCTGCATAACATTTCAGGGGGCCCAGAACACTCTCAAGCCCGCTGGAACCCAGGTGAATGAATGTCTCCAGAATTGAATCTTCTTCAGTTGACCATATGTTTTTGGAGAAATAAGTATTTTTTAATGGCAGATGTACTTGGAATTTTAGTTACGAATTCTCTTAAGGAAGACCTGGAGCCACCCGCACATGGATAGCTTGCTTAGGTTGATGGCAAGATTAAGTGATCCTGAGGGGATGGGTGTCACGGGCTCCAGGGCACCTCAGCTCAGACCCTGCAGTGAGACTGGAAAAGGCTACAGCGTGGGAGCGTGCAGAGGGCTCCACGGACAGACAGACCTGAAATCTGGCTCCACCACTTGTCAGCTATGTGACCTTGAGCATAGACATCCCTGAGTCTTGCCTACAATGAGGCTGGAGAGGAAATGGGTGCAACCTAGGCCTGCACTGGGCATCCCGTTACTGCGATCGTCAGATGGCTCCCAATTCTGTAGACACTGTGAGAAATTATTCTCCGTGACAATAATCTATTCTAGTGCTTGTTCTCACCACTAATTTTATAAAAAAAATCCTTATCTATATTACGTACCACACTATGTATTTTTAATATAGTCACCACCAAGGGTCTCTTATGGTTCTCACGTCCCTGCGTCCCTCCCACTTCCCCAGACCTTTAGCAGAAGCGCCTGCCTGCTGTGCAGCGAGGAGCCTGAGTGCTGCGTGACAGCCTCTAGTAGATGACGGAGAAAAATATCCCAACGCAATGGAACTTTTTCCTGGAGGGAAATTAAAACTTGGTATGTAATCGCTCTAAGCAGAAGAGCTTTTTGAAATGTAATCTATAAAAATCAGAAGAAGGCTGGTAAAAATAACCTGCCTGCACAATTAGAACTGTTTTTAAACCGCTCCTCCCCAGACTCATTAGCTCTCTGCCCAGTTCTCGAGATTGCACACCTACAGAACCGCTCAGCGCGCTGCTTTGAGTGCGAGTCTTAAAGCAGCCTTCGCCGGGTGGGCTCTTCCACCAAACCGAGTGGCCGTGAAGGTCGGCCTTACATAAGCTAAGAGAGAACGGGTTCGAGACTGAGGCCAAAGGAAGCGTTGCTCCTTCAGAAATGCTCCTTCGAGAAGGCCTCTGAAATCAAACCACGACACCACGCAGATGTGTGGATCCTATGCTCACGTGGTCAGAGCAGGGCTCAGCAGGTCACAGCCAGCCTGTCACCTGTTTCTGTCACGTCTCTGAGCTAAAAATGGGCTTTACTATCCTAAAAAGTTAATGTATTTTTATTGGTTTGCGAGAGGAAGGGAGGAGTGAGAGATAGAAACATCAATGATGAGAGAGAATCATCGATCGGCTGCCTCCCACAGGCCTCCCACTGGGGATCGAGCCCACAACCCAGGAAATCGAACTGTGATCTCCTGGTTCATTGGTAGATGCTCAACCACTGAGCCACACTGGCTGGGCTGGGTTTTACATTTTTAAGAGTTTGGGGGGAAAACAAAAGAAGAACATGTTATGTGACATGTTGAAACTACATGAAATTCACATGTAGGTGTCCATAAGAAAAGCTTTATTAAAACATAGCTACACTCATGTATTTACATTTTGTCTATGGCTTTTAAACTAGAGCCGGGTTGAGTAGTTTGTGCCCGAGATGGTTTGGCCTGCAAAGCCAAAAATATTTACTACCTGACCCTGACAGAAAATGTTTGCTGACTCCTGGGTCACAGTAAACATCTTACACCTGTCTGGGCTTGGATAACTTTTCGTTTAGTTTATTCCCTTTAAAATAAGTTTGGAAAGGAATTGATCTTTTTTAACTACTGGAATGGATTCTAACCAGGAAGGCACACTAACAAATGTTTGTTGAAGGAAGACAGGAAAGAAACAATATACATATTAATAGCTTTATCCAGTCTTTAGCCAAGATTAATTATGTGGAGATTAATTTCTCCAGAGATGTAATGTATGACCCTGGCCTGGAATGTTCTTCCCCCTCAGCCCACCTGAGAGGACTCTGGTATTCCGTGCTTCCTGGAGAACAACAGGAAACACACACACACACACACACACTAATATTGATTAAATACCTACTATATGCCAAATTCCTATTAGTCTGCATAGCTAACCTCTGTAATAATATCCAGTCCAGTGGCCTGGCACCACAATACAGCCTTATTTCTTGCTCATTACAAAGCCCAATATAAACAGGAGGCTGGGTTTTGTTCTGTGGAGTTATTCAGGAACCCAGGCTCCTTCCATCTGGTTTCACCACCAGCCCTGTGGTCCCTTGTGTCCCCCAATGGCCACTCTGCATGTACCTGGGACAGAAGGGAGAGAGAAATGGGGGAGAACCACAAAGAAGAATGTTAGGGCCCAGTCCTGGAAGAAACACCTGTCCCTTCTCCCCAGTTCCATTGGCCAGAAGTGAGACATGGAGCCCCACCAAACCGCAAGAGGGGGTCTGGGAAGTGAACTTAGGAAAGAAAAGAGCGTTTGGTAAACACGGGTCCTTTGAAACCCTATCCTCTCCACTGTTTTGACCAAATTTGACCTCCAGGTCACCAGGTGCGGATGCGGTTTACATCCGTGTGCCCAGAGGGGAGGGAAAGCCTGCCCGGGATCAGAGTGTAACCTTCCTGTCTAAGACCAAGCACTCGGCAAAGCACCCTCGCCCACCACCATCATATAAAATAAAGCTCTGCCCTAGCCGGTTAGGTCAGTGGGTAGAGCGTCGGCCTGTGGGCTGAAGGGTCCCAGGTTCGATTCCAGTCAAGGGCACAGGCCCGGGTTGCAGGCTCAATCCCCAGAGAGGGCCGTGCAGGAGGCAGCTGATCAATGGCTCGCTCTCTCATCATTGATGTTTCTATCTCCCTCTCCCTCTCCCTTTCTCTCTGAAATCAATAAAAAAATTAAAATAAATAAAATAAAGCAGACATTCTCTCATGTGACATCCTCTTCAAATAATAAATAAATTTAAAATTTTAAAAATAAAAAAAATAAAGCTGTGCCCCAGGAAGAACACCTCTTGTTACAGAAGGTTCAAGGGAATCAACACTTTTAAAGTGTGTCATAGCTCTGCCTTCAGGAAGCAAATCAAAAGAATCATTTAGTAGCTGAAAATGACACTTTTGACATATGATTTTTTTCTTCCTGTAACTAGAAAACATAACTTGAAACACAGCAAGTCCAGACTGTTAAGAGGCAAGGGGGCGGCAGAGAGAAACTGGTGAATCGTCTTTCCCAGGCCACCAGGGATGCTCCGCGGGGACCTGGGGGACGGGGGACTCGGGTAAAAACAGAGCATCCAAGGCTACAATCTGCATGGCAACAGGTCCCAGACGGACACTCCGTTACAGGAAGAATGAGCACACACCTGCACTGGGACGGGGGACAGGGGGCTGAGGGGCCTAACATGGGCAGGGCAGCCATGGGCCAGGCCCTGGGCGGAGTGTCTTACACATGCGTCTGTCTCATGTCAAGCCCTCCAATAGACACCACAGAATGGAATCATGGAGCTATATTCCTTCCTGTGGGTCTGAAATCCCGGAGAAGGTACCTGCTGGTAGTGGCAACCTTGGCAACGGGATTATCAAGGACGCTGGGACCAATGAGAACAGACAGGCAACCCCACAGGGCCTTTCTGACTCCAGAGTGGATCCACCTATTTGGCAAAATGACTTGTAATAGATTCTCCTCCGTCTGTTGTCCATGGGCAGCTGGGTTCATCTAGGACTCCTTCCCGCTTAGTGATTCACCTCAAACAAAGACAGCAAACACACACCCACACAGATACACACAGCTAGCTACACACACACACACCACCTCCGTGTCCTGGAGGTGGGTGGGCTCTGCTATTGTTGATGATGGGTTCTGACAGGAGCTTTTAGACACGTCAGCCTGCTCAGTCAGGGAGGAGCGCTAACCATCCTCCCAGAGTCGGGGTAAC